GATGATAAACTCGTTCATTTCTGTTGTCCATTTCATCCGTTGGCATCGTTTTCCAGCCTTTGTGGTCTGTGGATGCATTGCCACAGAAACACCAAGGCTAGGTTGATTCCTCACATCTGTTGAGGGCATTGCAGTAGTCATGCTTGGGCCGGCACTGCTTTCGCCACTGGTAACCAAGGGAGACTGTGGCCTAATTTTCGAACGTGAGTCTCTGCCTAACCAACGGACGCGGACTTTGTTAACCTGGGCGATGTCCGAGCCGTTATCACACTTTGATCTGGTTACTACCATAATAATTATCTCCACAGAATGTGGGTGTGGTCACTCTTAGCTTCATTTCTCCCCATACACCTTACTGGCATGGGTGTCCCTACCAGGAGCTTGTGCTCCAGCCTGCATTGCTCTATGGTTCAGTAAAATTACTGGGCTCTCCCATGACCAGGTGGTGACCATGGGAGAGTTATTATTATTATTTTAATATTATATTATTATAATAATAATGCTCCACAAAAGCAAATCAAATATTTTTAAAATAAATTTATAATAATAATAATTATTATTATTATTATAAATTTACCAGTCTTGACCAGTCTTGTTTTTTTTTTATTATTGTTTAACATAATCTTTTGTTTTACCAAATATTATTAAATCCTGGGAGGGTCCTCTTGGTATGGTCTCTTGTTAGTCGGGCTTACAATAGTGATGGTAAGTGGTGAGAAAGGGGCCCGATGTATTCAGAATGGATTGCCCATTAAAAATTCCTAGGGTTTCCAACCCAGACTTGAACCCAGATCCTCCGTAGCAGCAGGACAATACCTTTACTGCCTTGGACATAAGTTAATATGATGATTACAAACAATTGCCTTGCATGCGAAGGTAAGCATTGCATTTACAATACAACATAGCAAATCACATCACAATAATGAGACTTGTTAGAAAAATATGCAGATAAAATTTATTCCTTCATAATTGAAGTTTAGACTATTTACAAAAATATCAAATTTTCGAGTCTATCTTAATCTTTTTTTATACAACCCCAGAAGTAACAGTTAACATGGTTTTTTTAAGAATATACTTCTTAAAACAAAGGTAAACAATAAGAAAAAAAAAAAAAAAAGGTTCACAATGTTAAAAACGATCAAGTGTCAGCCTTCTGTTATAGGTTCTGACATTTTTACATTAAAAACACACAGAATTCTTCTCACCACATTGTCCTTATCCATTTTTTAACTGCTTCAGGCCCTCTGGTGGTAGTTCTGGGGTTGTATAAAAAGGATTAAGATAGACTCGAAAATTTGATATTTTTGTAAATAGTCTAAACTTCAATTATGAAGAAATATATCCTGAGTAATTACAGAAATTTATTCCTTGTTTTTTACTGTAAATTTTTAAAATTTACAGTAAAAAACAAGGAATTTTAAAAAGTTCCTGTCACTTTTTAACTTGTAGTGTTATTAACAGGAGATATTATATGATAACAAGCCTCTTCTGGTACCGGCAAAATCACAGGTGCCTATTCCTCTGTCGACACTCATCATGTTTTTGATTCAACCGTCTGCACTTGATTCTGACATTCTGCTAATTGTATTCAAGATGCAAACTGAGACTTTTCTTACACTTTGTTTTGTTAAAGATGTATTGACATAAATATAAATCTTTCCTACATAAACATCAACCAAAAACTTCATATTGGAGAGAGAGATATACATATGTAATGTTCTGTGAAATTTAGGTATTAAAAATCAAGAGATTCTACTGGAAAAACAGATACTGGTAGATATCCTGCAGGGTATTCTTGAAATTACTAAATTCATAATAAAAATGTAATTGGAAATTTTAATAAATTTCAAATTTATATTTGGCAATACTTAGCATATTTATTGTACAATTAAATAATAAGTGTGTAGTATGTTTGATTTTAACAAATATTGGTGTTTATAAAAAGAACATTAATTATATTTATCAAATCATCTTGTATAATCTATATAAGAACTAAATGGAATTTTATCTTGTATTTTATTGATGTTGTGTACAGGCACAATGAAGTGACGTTTTTTTCAACACTGGGCTAGTTGAATCTTTTATTTAGTTAGAACGTTTTTTCCATACATCAACGTTTCGGGCATCAGCCCCTCTTCAGCTAACTAAATATATATAAAAATATTTAACAGGACACAAATAAAACCAAAAAACTCACATAAATTCTTTGTAAACCATACCTCATTTCAGCATGGACACTGCACATACAGTAGAAATCAGACTACACTTAGGTTTTTTTAACATTTTCAATATCAATTTTTTATCACAATTTTAACTATACAGGTTAAAAACAAAACCTTTTCTACATTTTATCACATAAACAAGATAAACTCTGCAGATTTTAAAAAACTAAAACTTACAAATTTCAAAAGTCTTTTTTTGCCACCTCGTCGACTGATCCGACAATTTGCATATAGCACTATGTGCCGTAAGTTATACTAGTTAACAAATTAATCGACAAACATTTGAAAATCCCTAAGGAAATTACAAAAAAAATTTTTAATTTTTTTATACAATAAATCACTATTTCTCTTAAAGTTTACTCTGCATATTTTCTTATTATCTAATTTACATATGACGTTAATACAGAACATTGTTTCATTAAATAATTCTTTTTTACCATTCTATTATTATAAATTGTATTAATCTAGTACATTTCATTATAATATTTTTAACCAATTTTCATGAATTTTAACACTTAAGTTTTTATTTATACAGCCTTGGTTTTTGTTTCGTAATATTTCCACACTTTCTTTAAATTTTCTGTCATAAATCCGTTTTTCTTTATGTAAAATTTGTATATTAGATTGGTTTATATTACAATTATTGATTACACAATGATCATAAAAAGCGGAGTTCAGACGACTATATTTTAAATCGGATATGTGTTCTTTAACACGTGTTTTTAATGTTCTTTTTGTTTCTCCTATGTAAAAACTGTTATTCTTACAAGTACAGGGTATTTTATAGACAACATTTTTAATTTCATTTTTATCCTCTATATTATTTGTTGAACATTGTTTCTTATTTAATCTAGATATTAAATTTTTATAATTTGGTGCGAGCTGTATGTTATTTTTCCTAAGTTCTTTATTAATTTTTTCATATACATGTTTTATATATGGAAAGCTTAAGTATTTAATTTTCTTTTCTGCATCTTTTTTGGAAGGAAAAGGAACTTTATTATCTATGTTTTTTTGCCAATTGTTGATTAATCTTGTAGGATATCCATTCAAACTAAATTTCTTTTTTAGACTGTTTATATATTTCTGTTTTGTCTCTTGTTCACTGGTTCTACTAAGTATATTCGTATATTCCATATAAAAGATATTCTTTTTTATATGTAAAGGGATATTCGAACGGTAATTCAATGTCTTGTTGACTGAACATTGTTTTCTAAAAGGTTCAAGTATTAATTTTCTTTCTCTCCGTTTAATCATCACATCGAGGTATGCTATGCTGTTATCAGTTGTTTCTTTTTCTATAGTAAACTTGATTTCATTATGGATACCATTTATTAATTCTTCTATCTTGTCTGTTGTTATTTCAGCTTCATTATATACTATTAGTATGTCATCAACATACCTTCTATAGAAATTTATGCCTAAAATATTTTTTATTTTCATGTCAATTTCAATCATTATTAATTCCGCTAATTTCGGTCCTATAACTGACCCCATACTAATGCCATCTTCTTGCGTGTAATATTTATTATTTAATTCTAAATAGTTACTCTTATAGGCAAACTCAATCAAATCTATAATATAAGGTTCTACATTCATTTTGTTTAACTGATTGTTAATCAATTTCCATGTGATTGACGGATACATTTCAACAACATCAATACTAGCTAGCTTAGATGTATTATTTATCTGAACTTTTTTTAATTCTTGTAAAAATCCTTCCATATTTATTATTGTATTGTATTATATATTGTATTTTATTATTTTCTGTTTTACTTTAAAAATGGTTCAGCAGCCTTGGCTTATCCATTGATTGTGTAAACAACATCTGTAAGATGTCTTAAGATAATTTTACTAATGAGATATATCACCAATGAGATACAATGTCTGAGAATGTGGTGTATGAAATGGGCGTGTTTTAAACAGCTATTCAGACTTCGCAATCCCGTGTAGTCTGATAGGATTGTGAAGTCTGATAGCCACTTAAAACTCGTCCATCTCATACACCACATTCTCAGACACTTAGACAACAACATTAGAATAGATTTCCAATGGATCCTGGGTCATGCAGGGGTTCTCAGCAATGAGACTACTGACTGTCTTGCCAAAACAAGCTGCAAAGTCTTCAGTCACTAGTATTTTCAAGTTACATTCCTACCTCGTACATCAACAATCATGTCAAGAAGCAAATCTTCATTCTCTGGCAAGACAGCTGGGACCGTCACACCACTGGTAGGCTCACCTACACTTTCATCCCCAAGGTTGACACTACTGTGATTCTTCGCCACTTTTATCCTAGCTACACCTTGACTCGGCTACTTACAGGACACGGCAACTTTAAGAAATATTTGCATAGATTTAACCTTGGGGACCATCCACAATGCAATTGTGGTATTAAGGAGGACCAAACACCACTTCACTTAGTTTTTCGCTGCAATAGGTACAATCACATTAGGGATAGCTTAATGAGAGCTGCTATTCTTGAAAGGTACAACTGGCCTTGCAACCCAAACCAACTTATTCACACACGTACAATGTTCCCTTATCTACTCATATTCATATCCCTTAGTGGGACTCTTGAGAGCACTTATTCCAGAGGCACATATGGCAATTAATTTTCCCTTGCTTTGTTTCAACTGTCAGTATATAGCTGCCTTTTAACTTTGTATTTTAATTCTTGTTTTCTGTCTTTTTTCAGTCTAAATTCAGTTAGTCCTAGTCGTAAGTTGTGTGAGATTAGTAGTGGTCACTGGTTAATCCCCAAATGACCACTTACTCTGCACAGGCTGGTAAAGCCCAATCTCAGAGTCGTTGGATGGCTAGGAGGGCAAATTGAGTGGGGGGTGAGGAAGCTGACAGATGTCCTTAAATGACAGGAAATAGGTTCAACAAAATAATAAACGTTTATTGAATGGCTAAGCTATGATACATGAGGCGATAACAATATATAGGTTAAATGCGGTTAGATACAACTCAGAATAAATGCGGCTAACATACTATACTCCTTCCTCCAAGGGTTAAACTAAAAATACGCTTAGGGAGAGTAAGAGTCCACAAGTTCAAATAATTACCTCAAAGAGAGCTCTATGTGGCGATTAAGTGTTACCATAGAAGACCATAGGAACTTCCACATATCTTCTCCTTTTGTCGGGTCAAGTCCGTTATATGGAGGTCTGGGAGACGAGATGCACATATCGACAAGTATAACTTCCGAGAGATTGCCCCGAGCTTCCAGAGATTCAAGCTTTTATATCATTTGTATGGGAAAACTGACATGTGATTGACTTTTGTTGACGATGATGGTGCATTCTTCACACCTAAGTATAAACTTTCCCAGCTAGTTGTTAGTACAATTGGTGACATCCGATCTAGTTCAAATTCCTCGGGTTTTTTCCAAAGATATTTACACTTAAAATAAAATTCGAATTTTTAAGAGCCCCGTAAAAATCCGCGGGCTCACAGTTAGATTAGGGACTCTTAGCTTGGTTTCCAGTTAGGTTATGATAGGTTAGGTTAAATTAGATCAGGGTTTGTTAGCTTTAGTCATCTGGTTAGGTTCATCCTAAGTTATGGTAGGTTAGTTTAGTTAGTGAGTGAGTTAATGTTTGAAAAAGAAAAAGAAAAAATAAATAAAATAAAAAAAAAAAAAATTTAGAGTCTTGCTCATTTGTCTGTCAGTCTGTTTCTCTCATCTATTTTGTCATGTGTTCATTTGTTTTACGCACTTTCTAGCTGTTAAGTAGTATTAAGATTTGCAATTGCATTCAGTTTTATTAGTATTAAGTAGATATAAGTCTTCCTACTAATAGCCCTTGGTACTAACTTCTATACTTAGCTATTTGTGGCGGCACTCAATTATTGGTGTTTGCTACACTCAGTTTTCTTTTGACCCTTCGGGGTTACTATGGCCTTGCAGTGTAAAACTGCACGCCAACATCAACATAGAGGGTACTGTAGCCATATGTATGCTGTCCAGAGGGATCCGACCTTTCTCTACTGTCTGTCTCCCTCCTTCTTCCCCTGCCCTTTCCCATAACCTCTTTCTGCCGGCTAAACATTTCATCTATGACCAATAGATTAGGGTATCTTATTAAAAGAAAGATATCTTTCTTTTATGTATGTATGTATGTATGTATGTATGTATGTAATGAGATACATCAAGGGTCATCATGTTTCTCTCTAATGCCTGTAATAGACACAGAATGCACCAAATGTACCTGTAATTATTTATTGGTCTTATAGTCTAGGGCAGTGTTTCCCAACCTTTTTTGTGCTATGCCCCACCTAAGCCTTTCTAAAATTTTTATGCCCCTCTAACATATACAGTGGCTATACAGTTAACTTAAACTCTGGACGAGTCCATTTTCGAATTGCCCCCCTGTGGGATGTGGGCCCCACGTTGGGAAACACTGATCTAGGGTCATTGTGCTTTCCTCTACCTCATTGGCTAAAGTTATGCATCTTACAGACATTATAGGCATGTATCCTAAAAATTGCACAAATTTCAATATCATTTTTTGGTAATTTTGTATATAGGCATAGGCATGAGAGGATGGCATACATTTTTTCTAGAATGTTCAATTCCATTTATTGAAAAGGTTTACATAAATGACATTCCATTTTAAAAACAGAAGTATTAAATGAATTTGAGTGAAGAAATGTAATTGGCAGATTTCATTTTAAAATTGATGGAAGTGAATGTGCTGGTAACAATCACTGTTTCACCAAAAAAGGACCAGATGTGGATTTGTCAAATAATAATAACTTTTTGTCAGAGTTTCTAGTTTGGTCCAAAGGAATTTTTATGGGTCTACATTGTCTCATTGTGGCTATCCATCACCAAAGAAATGAGTGGCAACGAATGCATTTGGAAGAGGCTAATACTCTTTTTAAAGGAATACTACCTCAAGTGAGGATGTGTTCTAGCCAGATATGGCCATTATGCATTATGCTCATAATAAGGTTGCCAAGTTGGGCAAAAAGTTTATGAAAACAGTTGGGAAGTCGGATCACCAAGGAGTTGGAGGACGTGATCAAGTCCAAACTTCACCACTTGAAAGCCGAACACTTCCAGAGGTTAATGAAGAAAGTTAAGACTAAAATTCAAATTGCAGTCAGTCATGGTCCCAAACTTCTCTGAACATTAAAATTCATTATTTACTCTAAAATAAGGTTTTTTGGTACAAATAGTTGTTAAAATATCTTTGTGTATTCGAATAATCTGCACAAATTTCACTCTTATTCATATATGATGATTGTGTAACAGATTTTTAAGAAAGAATAAATTTAATTTAAAACTATTAATTTAGATTTTTTAAAATTATATTTATCTAACCATTTTTAACAATTTTAATCTTGATAATATAGTTTAATTAATGCACAGATAATTAATATTTTCCAGAATGATGAAAAAGAAGTTTCTTTGAATGAAAATAAAGTGCCAGTTATGCCTACTGTTATGATTACTCAACCAGAAGACGATAGTCCAGAACACTACAAAAAATCCATATTTCATAACCTTATAAAACGTGCAAGGAGACTTTCGGATGCTTCATTATCAGATAGAGAAATAGATTGTCCATCTAATGATGATTCCACTCAAAAGACCTTACCCGAATTTAGGAAAAGATCTAGTTCCACGGGTAGCAAACCCGAGAAGAAACATGGTAAAAAGTATGCAAGTAGTGACAACGAAGGTGGTCATAAATTTTTTGGTTCATTATTGTCAAGAGCGAGAAAATTATCTGCGTCTTCTAGTAATATTGGAAATAATAATTGCAAATCAGTGTCGTTAAAAGAATTAAATAAAGAAACCTTTCTTGATTTGAAATCTAAGAATGAAACTGGGGAAAGTGTTACCGACAAAAGTAAAGTCCAAGAATCTACTACATACAAAAATGCCAAAGTTATTCAACCTTCCTTAATAACTGAAGGCAAGTATTTTATTAATTATTTGAAAATTTAAGTAAAATGAAAACCAATAGTAAAATACAATATTTAGTAATAATATTTAAACAGATGATTTTTCTCTAAATTTCTGTCACTGAAAATTGTTAAATATTAAAAAAAATAAGAAATAGAATACAAAGTTAATTTTAAATAAATAATTTTTTATGCTCGATTTGGTTATGGAATATTAAAGTTATGTAACATTCTTAATTTTTTTTAATATTTCTTATTTCAGTATAAAATATATTTTACAATTCTAAACCCACTAAGACACGCTAAAGAAACATAAAATTGTCATTATTATAGCATTTTAATATGTAAAAAAGATAATTTATAACAATAAAACCAAATACAAATCGCACGGCAAAAAATGTGTATCCAACAAGGATTTTAAAATGGTCATTAGTTTAACGGCTGATGTCCAACTTTTGATTGGCAGGATACTTAAAGTAGTTGTCAACTTGAATTGCAGGATATCTGGAGGAGCTCGAAAGTATTGGAGCCAGATGCATTTCCGATCTCTTGTCAGAGGTAAGATTATACCTTATTTTTTAGAATAACTATAAAATTTTATTTGATATCTCTCTAATTTGACATTTATTTTTTACTTTTTTAAATATAAATTTGATGAAAAATTGACTCTTTTTCCTGCTGCTATTGTAATTAAGTTTTGTTTAATTATCTTGTTAACCTCACACTCAAAATGTTGTTTTAAAAATTTCGAATTTATAAGTGTTTACTTGTTTGAAAATAAACAAAATTTCAAAAGATTGTGTTTTTGAAAGTGAATCAACAATGTTTGAAACATTTAGTAACAATATAGCATTATTGTTACTAAATGTTATTTGAATAAGTTTTGGAATATTCTCGATATTATATGCGAGTATTAACATTTTTATGACATTCCTAATAATGGTGGCAGACTATCAAAATGTTTCAAAATATAATTTAAGATTTAAAAATGTAAAAACATTGGTTTGATTTTGTCCTTAGTTAATTTAATATCATTTATTAAATTGTAAAGACTTCTTTTTAACTATTGACCAAATTGCTTTTTCATCACATATTTGTTAAAAAAATTCATAGAAATTTATTGGAAATTTCAGTTTAAATGATTTAGATTTACATAAACCTACAGAGTTTTCCAAATTGGAATTGGCCTTAAATGTAATGCTTACCAGTCGTAGTTTAGATCTTATTCTTGTTTTGTTTTTGAAACGGTTGATTACACCTATTAAATTTTTATTGTCAAACTCATTTAATTATATATTAAGTTCTGCTAAGATTCCAGTGAATTGTGCCAAATAAAATATCAAGTTATATAAAAGAAAGAGAAGAGTCTAGTCTGATAGTTATGGATCAGTTACATTTTTATTGACTTTAAAGAAATTATTTGTCACAATTTTGGCAAATTGGACTTGTGTTTATAATTTTTTTTTTACTTACATGAGCAAACTGAAACAGAGATAAAGAGATGTGATCCATGCTGTATTTGTTTTATGTACAATATTGCAGATTCATTTGTATAAAAAGAGTAGGATTTACAGCCCTTATAGACATTTGAGAAAACATTTGATTCAATCTTGGTTGCAAATTTGTGTGAAGCTAAACTTCGTATTTTTTTTCCTAAAATTATTCAAGAACAGTTTTCTATTGTGATGATAAGTGCAAAATGAGTTACAAAGATACATTATAAGATTAATATCTTTATTTCGCATAGAATAAATTGATTCTTTGGAATGCCAGCTCTTCTCAGTCCCAATACACAAGTATATAACCTGAGCCGTACAAATATTGATATAACAGGTTGTTATTGACTATTATCATGACACTACAAATTACCGAATGTTGTATATTTGTTGTAAATATATCATAAACTACAACTAGGCACTTACAACTAACTAAATCTAAGTAGGAAGGAAGTAAGACTGAAACAGGAAATAGAGTAAGGATAGAGGAAAGTGGGGAATGATGGTCTTGGTGTTTCAAAGTTTCCTCTTGACTGAAGTTTTCAATATTCTTTCTTCTGTCTCTATATGCTACCAAAACACATTAGAGAGCACACTTCGTTGGTGTGGTCCTATCAAAGTCCCCACCAAGAATCTCTCTCATTCTCCCAACATAGCCCTCAAGGTGTCATTCTTTTGTTCTCAGGATTAGTCATCACCACCCAAGGAGAAAGAGTTAAAGAAAGATCATTCTGGAAAGGATAGACAAAGAAAAAAAGAAAACTATACAAAATTATTATAAATATATACAGTGGTACCTCAGGATACGAAATTAATCCGTTCCGAAACTGAGATCGTATCATGAAAATGTCGTAAGGTGGATCATCTTTTCCCATACGATTACATGTAAAACCAAATAATTCGTTCCAACGCGAAAAACATACTCAAATTAAAGCCAAGTAATACATTA